CTACATGCAAAATGGACCTACTGCAAAACAACACTAACCATTTCACCTCTACCTTGACTACTGCACCACACTAATTCTACCAAAGAGGCAATCAGTTGTCAATTCAAAAGCAGTATTCAAAAATCCTCCATAAATATGATTATTTTTCCCTTCTTCAGTTTACAGGTACCCTGTTAAATAGATGCAAGTTCCTTTGGGGAAGGCTAGAAAGAGGATATAGATATGAACATATATATTGTGTGTATGATATATAAAAGTAAACACACACACACACAGTTTTGGGGGGAGAAGGGGAAGGCTTATATAAAGAGGGTCTTTCCTGGTATCCTTCCTCATTCAAGAACACTGGGTCTGTAAATTGATTCTTACCTAGGAATTGGTCAAGGGACAATGGCTCTCTTTTGTGATGAATCAAATCAGACTTTTATTCACTAGACCTAGACCTTTATTGCTTATATGCTGCCCAATACTTTCACTTCTAGGGACACATTCCAATTAGCCAATGCCAAAGATCTCTGTGGCTTGCACTATTCTGATGGTTGCTTAAGTTTTGCTACTCATTCCATTAATCAGGCTTTCCTTATCTTTGTCAGTTAAATGGTGCCACCTGACCCCCATAACACCAAGATGCCACTGTGCATACTGAATTCAAAGAGCCTGGGAGTTCACACTGTCATTTCTGGTTTACAAATAGTCACCATGAATGCCACTGCCACCTACACAAGTGCATTTCCCACAACCTTGTGAAGGGAGCAGGTGTGCTTAGGGAATAGGTGAGCAAGATAGATTGACTCTGGCATTCTAACCCACCTCATCTGGATACCTACTTCTGTGGCAGCTTCTCAACCTCAGCACTAATGATGTTTGGGGTTGTATTATTCTTTGTGTGGATGGCTGTTCTGTGCATTGCAGGGTATTTGGCAGCGTCCATGGTCTCTTTCCACTAGATACCAGAATATCTTCCCACTTTGCATCCCCAGCTTGACAACCAAAAATGTCTCCAGACATTACCAGACTCCCTTGGAGAACAAAGCTTCCTCTAGTTCACAACTATAGCTCTTCCAAGGAACTTCTAGTACTGCAACTTCACTGAATGCAGATTACCTTTTGATCCAAGTTGTAGCCATTCTTAGGCAGGGTCAGAAGGACTGCTTCTACTAGCAAAGAGATCTCAGTAAATATATGGATTCAAGGACCCATTTCATTGAAATCTCCATTTTTCCCCCATCCCAATTTTTTCTCTTCTTTTTTTTTTTAACCTTTGCTTTATTTACTTATTTGTTTTTATGTGGTGCTGAGGATTGAACCCAGTGCCTCACATGTGCTAGGCAAGCCCTCTGCCACTGAGCCATAACCCCAGCCCCCTCAGTTCATTTTCAAGGTTCTCTTTCCAAAACAATGCCAATTTTACATTGAGGTGACAAGTTTAAATTGTGTTGTGACTAGCTACTCGCAGGATGAGATCCTGTGTGTGGTTTTCAAAAGTATCAGCCTCATGGCTTCAGGAGGGAAGAGTTTCTTTTGGGAAAAGCTTTAAAGCTTACATCCTCCCCACCAGAACTTGTGCTAGCAATTAAAATCCTGAGCCTATTATTTGCTTTTTGCAAATTCTCCAGCAGACTTAAAAGTAATCAGCCTCATTATATCCTTATGTCCACTAAATCTTTCATGGCACTGAAGACCTGTTCACTTAAAACCTGACTTTTTATAGGCACTTGATTAAAGAATCCACAGTCACAATTTAAGGAAGTGTCTTGCTACTGAGTGCCATGAACTGCTAGCATTCTTGTTACCACCAAACATATGGTCATTAATGACTTTAATTAGATTAGAGAACCAATTCCAGATAACCCAGAGCCGATTCAGAGAACCTATCCTTGTGCTCTGTTCCTCTGGAAAGAACTTAACTTTGTGCTCTGTTCCTCTGGAAACACTTCTTTGCCACATTCTGCATCAGTCAAATTTCAGTCAGAGAAGTAAAACTACCAGTATGACATGTGAAAAGGGATATATTCTAGAGTTATGACTTTAAACAATCTCAGGAGCTGGCTAAACAGTGAAACTATTGCTTATGTTTCTGATATTGGGGCCTGAAGTTAGCAAGGCAACTGTGAGAAGAAAAGATAAACTAGAATCTTCAAGGATGAGCCACTCAAAAAACAGGCTGGGGCCAAGCGAGGTGTTGCATGCCTGTAATGCCAGCAGCTTGGGAGGCTGAACCAGGAGGATCCAGAGTTCAAAGTCAGCCTTCTAAGATGCCTGCAAGACCCTGTCTCTAAATAAAATATTTAAAAGGGCTGGGGATGTGACTCAGTGATTAAATGCCTTTGGGTTCAAATCCCCCCCCCCCAAAAAAAAGATAAGTGGTATTTAGAGTCAGTCTCCCTGCCTTTCTTCACGAGAGACATGGAGAACTTGGTGCCCTACGTCATGGAGCTATAGTACATCTGGCCCAGGAGCCAGAGAAGCTAATGAAGATCCAGAAGCAGCTGAAGGAGCTGTGGGCCTGGCTGTGGCCCAATAACAGTGAGTTGAGCCAGCAGATAAAGCACAGTATGTACAAACTGTACCAGAGACAGTCACCCTATATCAAGCATTCAACCTTCTGAGTGTAAAAAGGACATGGCAGCTGCTGCTCCAACTTCTACCTTCCAAATCTCTTGCATAACATCCAGTATGAGCCAAGATAACAAGAAGTATGTAGGAAAGCAAATTCTGGGAAGCATAGTTACATCTTAGCTACACTGAAACAAAATAAATCCAGAATATACTTGTAATGATTGTTAGGAGAACATAGAAGATGATGATGTGAGCTGGTGAAAGGTCTAAACAAAGGAGTTAACATACAACGTGGCAGTTTAGAAAGATACTTAGTTTAATAAACATCAAAAACAGGCAATACAAAAACTATTCAGAGATAAACAGGGAGTCTTACTATAAAGGCAAGGAAGAAAATTACTATTGTAAAACTCAAGACAGTGATTACTTGTGGAAAAGAGAGAGGACTGTGATCAGAAACTGGAGGCTTCTAAGATGTCTGCAAAATTATCTCTCTTGACTCCTGCCAATTTCAGTGTCTACTCTACAAGTATTTACTAATGTGGGCATTTCGGTTTTATGTGCTATATATTCCAGGTATATTATATTTCACCATGAAAAAATATTAAAAGGAAAAACAAAATGCCTAGATTGATTTGCAAAGCAGAAGAAAAAATAAAAACAGAGAAACCAACTAGACTATGACTTAGACCTGAATTAAGACAGTGACAGTGGAAAAAGAGAAACAATGGATTCCTGGGATAGTGAGGACTTGGAAACCACAAGATCAGGAAAAATAAGAGAAATCAAAGATGATTCCCAGGTTTCTGGTTTGTTCTGATGGGAGGTTAGCCTTTCACTAATATAGAGAATGAAGAATAAAGGGCAGATCTGGTGGAAGGGTAAGTGTTTATTAGGCAAAGGAATAAAAGCTAACATTTAATGAATACTTTTGGTGTGCTAGCCTCTCTGTTATGTATTATTACCTCATGTAATCTTAATAAATGCCTATTTATACACCACCTTGTATACTGAAATACGATTCAATAATGAAAACTACCACCTGGAGACCATCAGATCCCTGAGGTTGAAGTCCCCGACAAGACTGCACTTATTCAGATGTCCACCACACTCTCATTTCCATAAGCTTTGGTATGATCCAAAAGGCTCAAGAATAATAGACACTCCAATTACTTGGAAAATCCAAGCATTTTAGAGTCCCATACTATGAAACCAGGACAAAGTCTTTATTATACCATAATATACCAAACCTATCTTCTGGGATAGGGATAGACTATCACCCCCATTTTACACATAAAGATACTGAGGCTTATAGAAAAATTTGTTTACACTCACATGTAAATTGAGTCCATATCTTATTGACTCCATATCTTATGAAGTCCTTTCCCTCCCCCCCCCTTTTTTTTTAATTGAACCCAGGGGTCTTTACCACTGAGCTACAACTCCAGTCCTTTTTATTTTTTCAGAGTCTCACTAAGTGGCTGAGGGTCTTCCTAAATTGCTGAGACTGGCCTCAAACTTGGGATACTCCTGCCACAACATCCCAAATCACTGATTATACAGGTATATGCCACCATGTCCTGCTCAAATTAAACATTTTTGGGCTAGACTTGTATCCACCAATTCTAGCAGTGTTTCATTACAAAATTATGCAGACTTATACCTCAATACACCATCATGTGGAGATTCCAGAACAACTTATTGACCTTTTATCCTCTGTGTACTCTATGAAGATTTTAACAAGCAGTCTCAGAAAGAAATCAGAAGAAACATGAAGGATTCAGACAATCAGATAGTTAGTTTAAATTAATGACCCCCTAACTTGCTTTTGTGGATAAGCATTTGCTGAGATCCAGGAATTCATAGAAACATCTTTCCTCTTCCAAAGAAACCCCAGCTGCTTCCCTCCTTTAGCATGGCCCCAAGACCTTGAGAAAGCCATACATATCATCTGCCTAAAAGCTAACTCACCCAATTAGATTGTAAATCCCCAGGGTCAGGGATCAGAGCCATTCACCTTTATTTTCCTTAGGATAATAAGCACAAGTAGACACTGAATAAGTGGTTGCTAAATTGAGAGGCCTATGTTTCCTTTTCTTAATAGCTGGTCAAATTTGCCTTCTTTCCTAGCATCCCACCAATATTTTTTTTAAAAAACTTTAGGGTGATATAGAAACAGCATAACTTCAGACTGATACTGATCTTAAAGGACTTTTTAAGGGAGCCAAAAATATTAGTAAATGAATTATTTTCATATTCTAGGGCTAATTTCAGAAAAATACAAGTGGGAGAAGTTCAGCAATTGTTTTCCATGGATTCTCTATTGATGTACATCTTTGTTTCTAGGTGTTCTCTATTCTATGTATAAGGATTACATTAAACCGCGATTCTTCAATGCATCCAAAAAATGAAGCTATCTGATGGAAGCAAGAAAGACAAGAGGCTTTGGAAAACTTTTATTATGAAGAATGAATTTTCTTTGAAAAACTATTATGAAAAATGAAACTGCAGAAACATCAGAAAGAATTCTCATAACCTTTGTATATTATTTCCAAAGCTTTAATAAGTTGATTTCCAGATCAACAGTCATAGTCACTTTATTGAGATATATATATATATATATATATATATATATATATATGGATTAAACAAACCCAGGGGCACTCGATCTCTGAGCTATATTTCCAGCCCTTCTTTTATATATATATATATATATATATATATATATATATATATATATATATATATATATATATATTGTGGTTTTTTTGTTTGTTTGTTTGTTTGGCATTGGGAGTCAAACCCAGGGTCTTATATATGCTAGACAAGTGCTCTATCACTGAACCACAACCACAGTCCCAGGCCTGAAAATATATTTTTAATCAGGCCACTAGAAAGAATATACCCTCTTGGTATACATTCAGCATTTAGAACAGATTAACTGTGCTTTATTAGAAACTGGCCTTTCTTACAAAACCCAAAAGCTTCCCTAATTTTCAGACAAGAAAAGGAATATATTTGTTGCTTTAAAAAAGCAGTGCTAAGTAGCCATGTTGCCAGGTGCAGTATTGCACACCTGTAATCCCAGTTACTTGGGAGGCTGAGGTAAGAGGATCCAAGTTCAAGGCCAGCCTGGGCAATTTAGGAAAACCCTGTCTTAAAGTAAAAAATTTAAAAAGAGCCGGGGATGTAGCTCAGTGATAGAGTCCCTGGGTTCAATCCCCAGTACCAAACAGACAGACAGACAGACAGACACACACACACGAGTAGCTATGCGTGTGAACACCTACATAGGATAAAAGAGAAAAGTTAGAAAGAACACAGGATGTTCATTTATCCACTACATCTTGGGTAAAGGAGAGAGTCATATCAGGAAGACCCTATAAACAAATCCTATATGTTTGAATTTGCAAAAAAGAGAGAGGACTACTTTCGTTGGCTACTGGAACCCTGATGCCTTACTACTGAACTACTTCCTAAGCCTGGTTATGCTTAGCAAGACATTTAAAGTGTGCATGTGTATAGTACTATGGACTGAGCCCAGGGCCTCATGCATGCTAGGAAAATGGCAATCTACCACAAAACTACATCCCCAGCTCTTTTCATTTTTTATTTTGAGACAAGATCTAAGTTGCCACACTGACCTCAAACTTTCATTCCTCTTACCTCAGCCTCCCAAGTCACTGGAATTATATGCTTTCCTTTTATATCAGGGTGACAGTTATGTAGAAATAGCTGCTCAGTAACAATTACTTAATTGGTCTTTTCCTGACATTCATTTGTTACACTTTAAATTGTATATATTAATATCTGGATGTTGTGGTTTGAATACGGCTTGAGTATGTCCCCCCAAAGGTTCAATGTGTTGGAAATTTGGTCCCCAGTGTGGTAATATTTAGAGGTGGTGGGACATTTTTTATTTTTTAAAGTACTAGGCTTTATCTTATTCTCTTTTTGAGGTACTATGGATTAAACCCAGGGGCACTCGATCTCTGAGCTATATTCCCAGCCCTTCTTATTTATTTAAACTTGCCATGACTGGCCTTGAACTTGTGATAGTCCTGTCTCAGCCTCTTGAGTTGCTGGGATTACATGCAGCAGGTGGTGGGACTTTTAAGAGGTGGGGCCTGGGAATTTATTACATTACCAGGGACACTGTATTTGGAGGTGATAAATGGAGATCTCATGAGACTGAGTTAGTTCTCATGAGAGCAGACTATTATAAAAGAGGGAGCTTGACTCTTAAATTGCTCTGTCTGGCTTTTTGTCAACCTATGGGAGCTCTCCCTATCATACATGCTCTCACCATGATACATCTACCACATGACATAGTAAAGAGGGTCCTCATCAAAGTTGAGCCAATGACAACATCCTGCTTTTGAATCTCCAGAACTGAGTGCTAAATAAACTTCTTTTCTTTATAAAGTATCCAACCTTATGTATTTTCTTAAACTAATAGAAAGCAGACTAACACACTGGATAAGCACACTATCTGTAGAAATTTAAAGTTGTAAATCATGAATTAAAGAATGATTAAATGTTCTTAATTGCCAAAAAGCTTACCCAAGACTCACTCTTTAGGTATCAATCTCCTCTATTGGTTTTAGTGTGATTCGGTTTACTTTGTTATCAAATTTTCTGATTATGGGAGCTATGACACCTCTGGGTAAATATTTACAAAGTTTTACATACTCAACTCTGTTCTAGTAACATACAGTTAAAGGATGGAGAAGAGTTACAAAAGCTGGGCACAGTGGCACATGCCTGTAATCTCAGTAGCTCAGGAGGCTGAGGCAGGAGGATTGTGAGTTCAAAGCCAGCCTCAGCAACTTTGTAAGGCCCTAAGCAATTTAGTGAGGCCCTGTTTCTAAATAAAATATTTAAGGGCTGGGATGTGGTTCAGTGGTTGAGAGCCCCTGGGTTCAATCCCCAGTACTTAAAAAAAAAAAAAAAGAGCTACAGAACTCCCCAGAGTATTTAACCTCAGTTTAACCAACCACCTCACCTTTCTATGAGTTAAAATCAGGATGTTCATCTAGAGTTCCTATCTGTATAAAACACAGATAAGTTTTTCAGTATAAAAACACTGAAACTTCAAATTTTCAAGTGAGAACTTGTAATTCATGTTAATTCACTCTCAATTTTAAGATCTGAAGGACACTAACCTAGGCTGCAGTGTTGCTGCTCTTTTCTGAACTCTCAAGAGCCCCTGAAGTAGAAATGAGGGAATTTTAGAGTCATTTAAGAAAACTCCCTGATGCTTAGAAGGCCAAACCATTATAATGTAGGTAGGCGATGTATGGATTAAAAAAGAAAGAGAAAGAAAAAACAAAAAAGGTAATAAGTTTTTATGGTTTTGTTTTGATTTGTTGTGGTACTTGGGATTAAACCCAGGGGCACTCTATTACCAAGCTGCATCCTCAATTTGAGACAGAGAGTTTTCCTAAGATGCTGGCCTCAAACTTACAATATTCTTGCCTCAGCCTCCTGAGTAGCACCATCAAGCCCAGCAGGTAATAAGTTTTAAAATAAGGCAGAGAGGTCAGACATTTCACTTTAATGCTGAAGAGGAAAGTAAAGTTCAAAGTCACACAAAGGCTGCAGGGTTTGCAGATTCAACCTTGGAAATCAGAAGGAAATAATGAGTGATATCTGGGGTATATGCCACCCTGGGGTATATGGCATTGGAAAAAAGATAGCTGCCATTCAGTTCTAGCCAAGTGCACTTCCATGCAGGAATGTGGGCCCAGTGTGGCATATCTTCTGACTCTCCAATCAGATAATTATGATAAAACTTTTATTTATATATGTATGCATGTAAGCATGCTGGATAGAATCAAACCCAGGGCTTTGTGCATGCTAGACAAGCACTCTACCAATGAGCTATATCCCTAGCCCAAATTTAAATCAAAGAACTTTTTCATTATAAAAATTTTAAGAAAGAAAATTAATAGTATCAGGGATCAAAAAAATTTACTAACTACATGTCAGCAGGCAGTTTGTGATAATGTAGACTAATTTTCCAAATCCCAGTCTAGTAGTAATCTCATACTTCTTGGTACAAATATCTTATAAAGAAATGCTTAGCATTCCCTAGGACATTCAACAAAATAAATATTAGCTACTCCTAGAAACAGACTTTGGACCTAGAAATGGTATTTGGAGTATTAATTGGAAAAGTGGAAAGAAAAGACATTGTAGAATTATACAAATATTAGAAAGAATATTAATACTTTGATTGTGTTGTGTCAGGACTTAGAAGAGTGAAATGCTATTAGTTTCTTCTTTTTCTACCTAAAACTCAAATGCTAGAATAGGCTGAGTTACACTACAGTGTGGGAAAACAATTGATTATCACTTAAAATATGGTTTCTAAATTTGTTACTACATATTAAGCAGGTTGACAAATAACATTGTATCCCTGGTTTGATAACTATAAAAAATTTCAAGAAAAATGATAACAAAGACAATACTAATTACAAAGTATGCAGGTAACCAGGGTTAAATAAGATCACCAAATAGAAGAAATGATTTCTTTAGAAATGATGGTTAATATTAGTAGATACCAAGTATGTGATGTGGCTGATTACAATCAAAGTAAAATGTAACTGGCATAGTAAAGTATCACTTTATAAGACAGTCAATTGGATCAGTTCATTGTGAGAAAAAGAACATTTCCTTTCCCTTCTCACTTGTGATCCAAAGATGTAATTTACCTGAAGAATGTTTTTTTAAAAAAAAAAATACAAAATATCTATTAGTTTTATATAACATTAAAATCTTACCCAAACTGATGTTCAGGTTTACATAAATATATATAGATATATATTTTTTAAATCCCAGAAGTCAAGACACACCCCATAGGGGTATGTGGCCAGCACAGGTAATCATTTAACTCTGGCTATTGTTTGTTGTGAGGTGGGTGGGTCGATGACCTAAATTTATAGTTGTCAGTTTTTAATCCCATTCCCATGAGGAAATCTTTGCCTTTGTTCAAATGAACAAAACTCACCTCCAAACTAACAGAGGTATGTTAAGACAGCTGGCACAATAGGGCTTAGAGAAAATGGTTCTTATACAGTCTCTCAGGCTGTTAGTCATCTTGATATAAGGGAGTCAGCATCCACGGTGTTTAGAAGGTAGAGTTCAGGCTGAGCTGTCAATCCCAGGTGGTACTAAGGACAAAAAGGTGAAAGAGAATTAGACTGATTTTCAAGTAGTTAAATACTGAAATGGGTATTTAAGTACCTATAGTCAGCATATTAATTTAAACCTTTTTTAGTACTGCTATGTTTTTCTTTCAGAAAAGACATAGCTAACGCATGATTTCTGATATTTAAAATGATAGAGCTGCTGAGATAGGTAAGGATAAAGATAGTGCCAATGTCCTCAGTAAAAGAGGCACACTGCCCCACGTTGGGACTTCAGACTAGGATGAGAGCAAACATGCACTGTTTTGTATTTTCACTCTGTATGTATTGGAAATCAGATTTCAAACTGTCTAACTCCTGAGCATTGTAATCCTGACCCCATTATCCTTTGACACCCAAACAGAGAAAAGCCTTTTACTTAAAAACAAAAAGATAATGTAATGACAGACAAGATAACCTATGGGTCTCAAATCTTTGCCAAACTGAATAAGAGTCATCTCAGCTGCTTTTTTTTCTCCCCAGTAACAGGGGTTAAACCCAAGGGCACTCTGCCACTCTCCCAAGGCCTTTTTATTTTTTAATTTTTAAAATTTTGAGACAGGGGTTGGGGTTGTGGCTCAGTGGTAGAGCACTTGCCTAGCATGTATGAGGCACTGGGTTCGATTCCCGGCACCACATAAAAATAAAAACAAATAAATAAAGTATTGTGTCCATTTGCAACTAAAAAAATATATTTTAAAAACAAAATTTGAGGCAGGTGTGTGCCACCATGACCAGCTTTCACCTCAGCTGCTTTTAAACATTTCCACACCTCACTAGTACAGAACTGAATCCAGATGATTTGTGTTGAGATCTGGGAAGTTATAGTTTTTCTTCACTCTTTTTCTTTCCCCTGAATATAACTTGAGACAGTCACTGAGTCTCATTTTAGCCTTCGGTTATTACTCAGGACTTCAGGAACGTCACTGCCCTGGACCAACAGCCTGTAAGTTAAATGCAGAATGCAGACTATAAATAGAAAGAATTATTGCTATTACAGGATAGAGGAAAAGGCCCTGGAGTTGGCATCAAGCCCAAACTCCATCTCTTCCTATGATGCTAGTCATGTAATGTATCCTTCTGGAGCCTTATTCTACTGATTGGTAGAATGGAAATAAGTGTTACATTGGAAAATGACAAGTACAGTAATATCCTTTCTCATACTACTCTATTTTAATAAATATACACAAATTTCACATTACTAATTGCCCTGTATAACCTCACAGGAGTCATCACAATGAAGGTGAAAAGATGACATACACCAGATGGTGCCGAGCACTGAGCCATTCTCAACTAGTGGGCTAGGAAGATTCTGGATGACCCTGGCCTTAGGGCAGGAAAACAGTTCTTCAGACCAGCTTGCTTCCTCACTTTAGTGCTTTATATCACAAGTTTCACTAACAGCAATTGTCAAGACACATTGACAATTCATTGAAGCCTTTCCCAAAGACAGTGGGCTTCCTCAAAATGCAGTAAGCAAGGGCTGCATTTATAGTTCAATGACACCAGTGTTATCTCTTAGATGACTTAGAACTCCTTCACTGAAGATTGTCATGTGGTTATGAGACATTGAGAAATGGGGCTCAGTGGCACAAGAATAGGCTAAAATGGTGACAGATAACGTGAATGAGTCAACCTATTATTAGGTTTTAGCTATTATCAGTTTAAGACCACAAAAGGCCCTGACCATTTTCTAAGCCTGCCCAAAGCATTCAAACTTACTTCTTAAAATTTAACACAGGGACTGGGGCTGGGGCTCAGAGGTAATGTGCTTGCCTAGCATGCATGAGACACTGGGTTCAATCCTCAGCACCACATAGACATAAATAAAGGTATTGTGTCTATCTACAACTAAAAAAATTCTAAAAAAATTAGCACAGCCAAAGTCTACCAGTTGGCAACTTCTGATCTAAATCATATTCAAGCATTAATCAGAGTATCAAGCAAATGATTTGATGAGTTGGTGTTGCTAAACAAAACTTGGTGTCTTAATCCAGTATGAATAGTACACTATAATACAAGATGGTTTGAGATGAACATGTGGGCTCTGACATTAAAAGAGAAACTGCCCACTGTCCATTTACTAGCAATGTCATACAGGTGAGTTACTTTTGGCTTTTCATTTGCCTCATTTATATAGAAGTTAATCCTCTTTGTTATAAGGTTTGAATGAGACAACGCAAATGCTCAAACCAGAACTAGCACATGGTAATAATTTAGCCATTCTTACATTCAATTCATACGCTAAAGTGCTGGGCAAGACTAATATGCTTAGATTCATTTGTCTTAACAATGAAGAGGCAAAAGTATTCTGAAGGGCAGAGTTAGAGGAAATATCTCAAATTGGGGTCTTCAAATTGTTTTGTATCCTATTAGTTCTGAATAAACCAAAATTAAGAACAGAGAACTAAGTGAAGGACACCAATATGGAGAAATTATACAGGATTACTTAGGGTATTCAACTCCTATAAGAAGGCAGGGATAGCTTTAAACACAAAGGAAAAATGAAGTTCTAATGACACTCTTGGGATAAATCAAGTGCTGACTTAGATTTTCCCATCATATGTCTGGGGACAGGGCCAGAAGTTTGTTATGCCTGAGCTTTGCCTTTAACAAAGGGTGCCAATATTTCCATTTATGTCAGAGCTGCCAAAAATGTCCATGTTTACACGGTACTGAGGATTAGAACCCAGGGGCATTCTACCACAGAGCTATGCTTTGAGCCTTTTTTCTTTTTTAATATTTATCTTTTAGTTGTAGTTGTCAATATTTTTATTTTATTTTTACGTGGTGCTGAGGATAGAACCCAGGGCCTTGCACGTGCTAGGCAAGCGCTCTACCACTGAGCCACAACCCCAGCCCTACTCTGAGCCCTTTTTAAATTTTTCATTTTGAGATAAGGTCTCACTAAGTTGCCCAAATTTATAATCCTCAAACTTGTTACCTCAAACTTGCAATCCTCCTGCTTTAGCCTCCTCAGTAGCTAGAATTACACACATGCACTATCATGTTTGATTTGACAATCCAGTTTTTATTTTGTGTGTGTGTGTGTGTGTGTGTGTGTGTGATGTTGGGGATCAAACCCAGGACCTCTTGCATGCGAGTAGGCACTTTACCACTAAGTCACATCCCCAGCCTTCTCATTTGTTTCTAATCTAATTTTGGTTTCTTTCCTCATACTAATTTTTGGTGGCAGCAAATACAGAATGTAAAACTACTTAAATGGCGAGACAAGACTAAAAAGAGACAAATATTTACCTTATAATACAGAAAGGTAGGATTAAACTTCAAGTTTAAATATGGTAAAGGTGTGACTTTTAGGTATAGCCAAACAATCTACAAGCCCAAATTTGTAATCCTAGATGTGTAAACAGAAATTAGTGTCTTGGTGAAAACTAGCCAGTCATCTTTTTTTTTTTTTTTCCTTCAGTAATGGAGATTGAACCCAGCTGTGCTCTACCACTGACTTACATCCACAGCCCTTTTATATTTTTATTTTGAGACAATGTCTCGCTAAATTGCCAAGGCTGGCCTCAAACTTGTAGTTCTACTGTTGAAACCTCTTGAGTTACTGGGATCACGGATATGTGTTGCTGTGCCCAGCTCTAAACCCAACCTTTTGGTGACTAAATCCATTTAATGTCTCTATCCCTTCAAAGAGAGAAGCACTAAGTTGTATGGGTTTAGTGTGTCATTCCAGATGGTAACTAATATTTCAGTATTTCTATATCAAAGTTGTTGAGACACCATTAATAAAATATTTCAAGATTTTTAAAAAAAGCAAACAATAACCAGGAAACCAAATTGGAAAAGGAAAAAAAATTTTAATTACAAATCAAGTTCACATATTGTTAAATGGGTACTAAAAGTTTGGTTTTAACCACTTCTAACATCACTAGCTCCTAGAACCTCACAGGAGCCAAATTTAAACTTTTTCACCATGCCTATTAATTTCCAGCATATTGTAGCAGTACAATTATTTCATTTATGGACATTTAAGTCACATTTAAGGACAATAAGAACCACTTTGAAAAAGTACAATTGCATATCCTTAAACATTCCACAAAAACATACTGCCAAAAATAAAAATGCACATGCTGGCATTGGAGGACTTAAATTTCTACACATTGGTTATAACACTCAAAGTACTGGTTGAAGTATACCTTCTCTCTGTGAGGACAGAATGAATTAAGATACTGTTTCTGATGCTGTAAACAGTATAATCATAGCACTATAAAATACAATTTAACTGGGAAGAAACATTCGATCATTATAAGTCGAATAATAAAAATATTAGCTTTTGCCTGGATTCCTAAATGTTTATAAATTTAAGATTGGCTGGACCCTCCAGGCCCAGAGCAAAGGCAAATGTTACTATACAACCTTTACAAGGATATATATATATATAATTTTGGATTTTTCCTACTGCAGCCAAATAATAGCTTAACATGTCAGATCTTGATATTGTCAGAATAACTTTAGGACCAGTTTGGAGAATGATGGTAGTAGGGGAAGAGAGCAGGTATGAGGGGGAACAGTTAGTGGAACGGTCATCTGTGATTCTTTACTGCATTACCGCAGGGGCAAAGAAAAATGACAGTCAAACACAGTACTTTACCCTTAATGCCTCATAAAAGACTGTCTGTGCTTTTGACTATGTGCAAAATGTCAGTAATAATCTTTTGCAGACTCAGATGAACAGAGAACGTCAATCAACCGGGACTCCAGAAGGAAAGCTCCAAACCTGAGAAGTCCTTCCATGTCATTCCCATTACCGTTCTCACCAGATTATGGCCTCGGAACACTTTTGCTTATTGATCTCCAACAGACAAATGTGATTTGATTTGACAGAATCACACAGCCTTAGGCTCCACAAGTAAAAATGTCAGAAGTGGCTGAAAGAGCAGCAGCTCCATGCTGAAGACACCCATTTCCTCTAACTCCAGAGCTCCGCCATGTGGTCTGTTTTCCCTCTGAGGGAACTGCTGAAGAGAGGTAGCCTGGTGCCACCTTGCTGAGGGAACTTGGAACCACAGTGACAACTACTGACTTGCTGACACAGCATGCTTTGTAATGGTTAGGTCCATATAGCTCCTGAGACTGCTTTGCAAGACATCTTGAACATGCAGCTGAGTGTTGCATCAGAGAAACATGATTTGGGCAACAGGTGTCTTTCAGGAATAAAGCAGATGGTTCTTCTTTCCCTTCTGAGTCTTCTCTCCCCACCCCCAAAGTCTCATGAGAAAGTCAGTTTATAAATGCTGCTATCTTTTTCTACCACCTCCCTGTTAGAGGAGGAGGGTGACATTTTTATAACTACATGTACTCAAGAGTAAATGTCAGGAAAGTTCTGTGGTAAGAGGTGTTATTAACCTCAGACTCCCACAAAAATCCTGGTAACCTTTCAATCTCTGAGAAAAACCTTCAGACGTGATTAGTAACCACCAGGTACAGGTGGATTTTGCTGTTTGTTCATTTTTTACCTTCATTATGCATTCCCACCCCACTTAACTTCTGCTGAGAAACTTAAAGTGGAAGAAAGTTAAAAGAATCCTGAGCCTGACAGAGGCAGAGCTATCTTGATTTTATATTTTATATGGATGAAATCACTAGTTGAGATTTTTATAATTAAAATAATTGAAAGGATATGCATAAAAATATTTCTCAGCCTCTCAAATCCATTACCTTCTGATAAACAAAACTTACAAAACTACCACATCTGTACTTGGTATTATGAAAAATTCTACTATATTTCTAACTTTTTAAAAAACATAAAAGCTGGTTTAGAATCATGCATGAGAATTTTCCTTCAAAAGGCTAAAATAAACTGGCTCTTGGGTAGCTACTTAAGAATTTAGTGTTGGAATGACAGCAGCAAATATTAACTTTTCAAAGATCCTACCTAATCCAGTTCTTAGATCTCAGGTAGGATGTCAGAAAGGGAAACAAACAAACAACATTAACAAACAAACAAACAAAAAAAAACCCTTCATCTTTCAAATGAACATGAAACAAAGGCTTTTCCAACCAGAATTTGAGTCTGTGCAACAGCACATACTTGTGGCTATGTTCACACAGTAAACCATAGAAACACACTGGCTCTGATGGCTACCTGCGGAAGACAGACAGACTGATCCAGTGTTTATTTAGTATAGTCACTGGTGGCTTCTTCAGTCATCAGGACTTTAGAGATGCTTACCGTGTGACCACAGTCCAGGAAGGACATGCCCAGTGCAATCAAACATTGCCAACCCTAGAAGATAAAACACAATCATCATTCACCAGGCTCTGTGAAAAACCCTCTCACCCAGCATGACTGCTCATAAGGTTCTGCTCAGATGCAACTGATCCCTTCCTTAAACATCCAACTTTGTCCACCTTGGGGATTTCTACAACTAAGGTTGCCCAACTAACTCTCCCAACCCCATGCCCCCTTCAAAACTTCCTGGAATCTGCCTTCCTCAACAAGTTTGTCCTGCTATTTAAATATTGAGTTCTCTCTGTTCCTGCTGCTCTGTCTGTGGCTTATTTCTCTAACCCTGATGACCACTTTGTTTCAGTCTCCTGCAACTCCCCATCATAAGGAATGGGAAGAATAACTGACAAAGACAATGGCATAGTCTTCTGAGCTTCTCCGTGAAGTTCTATTTGGGAGATAAACAGCAGAAATCTTCACCTTGGAAAATGGAACTTCAACAATCACACTAGCAGTCTCACATTGACTAAGGACAATTCAGCAGCTTCATACACAATTTATATGAAGGAAGGATTCCCCTGACTAATAAGGAAATCTTCAAAGCAACTGCAGTCAAGGATATATTCAATTACTTAGATTTCCTAGATCCTAGGGTCACAATAACCCTTGTTTGACTGAGGTTTATTTGGAAAGGAAAGAGAATGGATATTCCAATCTAAGACACACTTTTCCAATATTCACTAATGTTGTTTTTTCAGTCAGATACCTAACCTGTGGCAAACACTGGCATGAAGAATAGGTTAATGTTCTAGAGATCAATAGCACATCTCCAGCCTCCATTTTTAACCATTTCTGTAGCAGAAATGGCAAAAATCCTGCTGCTTCTTATTCCCAACCCTCGTGTTTTCCAGAGACACCTGTTTAAACTAGGGAGGTAGATTTTTTGTTATTGCTATAACTATAGCAATTTTCACTAATATTAGCAATGTTAAAGATCAGGAAAACAGAATACATAATTTCATGTTCCCAAGACAACTACAATTATCATTTTTACAGAATTTACTCCAGACTTTAAAAAAAAATTTTGGATAATTTGGGTACAAATAATTTTGCATTCTTTTTGCATTGTTGCTATAGTTTTATAACCAGGATTTTCCAGATAACTCCAGAATAATTCAAAGGGAGAATACTATTTACTTACTTCCTTAAACAGTAAGTAGTAGAGCGGTGCCAAGCCATGAGCCTATCTGTATCCCACCCCAGTGCTCTAAATCTCACTGCTCAGTCCCCTTCAATTCCATCTTCTACTACTCTCCACTCTATATACTGCTACCTTTTTTTAATTTTCTCAAACATTACTACACCCTCTTTTTAAAAATTAAGAAGACTATAAACAAGTGTTAGAAACAGAATAATGCTAGCCCTGAGGAACCAAAGTAAATAAAATGATTAGAAATATAAATAGCTGATTATTAAACTACCTCAATGACCAGGAGGCAGAGTGCCTTGTGCTCTTTAGGGTCTATTCATTTCTGAATGTCAGGTAGCTGACTTCTACCATCCCAGATACCCATGCCCCTGCCTCATCAAGACTGTACTTACCAAGTAGAACACAAACCCCAGATAAGCCACACTGATCACAGCCGCCACGACATACAACACAATGTGCCCTAGTTCCTGGACATAAACCACTACAAAGTACATGTTGATAGAAGACACAATAAGGACCAAGATCCCACCAGCAATCCTCCAGCCTCTGTGAAAGAATCAACACAGTCACTGGTGGAAAAATTCAGTCTGGCCATAGACAGAAAAGGAATTGGCATTTTGAGGGATAAACAGGGCAAGAGTTAGAGTCACTGCAAAAGGAACTGAAAAATAGTTCTTACTATGTCCCAGATTTGCTTAAATAAGTCAGACAATTATAGGAAGAAGGAAAGAAAAAAGTACTATTAAGTAAACCCTAATATTTAAGACTATAGAAAAGTAACAAGGCTTAGAAATACAAAGAGCCATCTGAGGAGAGTCCTTTGAAATGCAACAATTCATTTCAAATATTCCATATCCACTTAAGGTATATATAAAAGGCATTAACTTATGCCTTACTAAGATCAGTGGCTAAAGCTGAAGAGTTAAAGCCCCAAAACTGAACTAAAAAAGGGTTTTCTTGCCTTTACTATATTTATATTCTCCATTTCCTAAGCCAAAGAGGAAGCAGATAGCAATCACCTCTCAAAGCATATAGTTCCCCTATATAACTCATTTCTCAGTGAACTATTGATGCCCTTCTCCCACATATCAGCATCCTCACGGTAGAAGTAGGATGAGTACACTCACATTCCATTGGAAAAGTCATTCATTACTGGCCGCAAGCTTGTGAATGTGAGAATGGGTATGAGAGCAAAAGGAAGCTGGAAAACAGAACAGTACAGTTAGTGCAAGGAAAATATAAAACAGGCCTCTCTTACTTCACGAGAAATAGTTATAACTATCAACCCGACATGCTTCAAAAATTGTTGAAATCTGCCAAGTTGTCATTAACCTAGCATGAATGATGATCTAAGTGTCTTTACAAATACTGCATCTGACTTGTCTTATTAACATACATATGACATACCACCATGTCCCATAGTTCACTTAATGCTTGCTAGATTAATGAACTACAATTTTGTGTTCCATATTTAAGTATACAGTTCAATATATTAAGTATATAGTTCAATTCCCACTCAATAGGACTGAAAAACAAAACCATTCCTAAAACCTACTTAGATGGCAATATTTCATATACATTTTCTGCATTACAAGACCCAGGCCTCTTTCTTCATCTCCATTTCCCCACTAAACCCAACACAAGGCTTGCTACACTAGGGCAGTATTTAATATTATCTGACTATGTGGGATGAGTTTCCCCAGACCCTGCTCACCTGTAAGCTCTGCAGAACATTCAGGAAGTCATTCATCCCTGTTAGATGCTCTACATCTTGGAAGACAGCAACAAGCAGAGTGGGGATGATAGCAATAGAGCGTGTCAGAATCACTCGAGCAAAACGTGACCATTTTAGGTTTAGGAATCCCTGAAAGAAAACACAGGAATAGGATAACAGGCTGGGCCAGGAAGAAGAAAAAAGGGGGTTATGGAGAGACCTTAGAAGGGACCAAGAAATATCTAAGGATTAGTCGTCTCCCTCTGTTCAACAGCAGCACATACCTCCATGACAAACTGACCAGAATAGGTTCCTGTCATGGTGGAGCTCTGTCCAGCAGCCAAGATCCCCACTGCCCAGATGTAGAGTGCAGCAGGCCCGAAGTAACATCCCAGCACAACACCCTGGGACAGGCAAGGGAGAAGACATGCCTGTGTCAGTCATCTGCTTAGAAAACACCCAAAACACCATTTCTCTGTGACATTTCTCCCTCTTCTTTGCCAAGAATCACCTCACTAGAAACTATGCTAGGCACTGTCCCAAAAGTAGGCTCAGGTCTTGATCTGATTCTAGAGGCTTTCAGTCTCAACAATTGCTGGATGGTCCTTCATTCCTCAGTCTACTCTCTTCACTTCTCTAAGCGTCTAAAGTCTTGATCTCCATCTACCATCTTAAATTCTGAAAAAACATAAGCCTAACCACATTTCCCAAATTGTTCTCCTTAACACACTCTTCTAGAAAATGGCAAAAGTGCAGGAACAAGTCAAATAAATATGGGAGATGCTGTATACTATATATTCAACTCTTGGAAGGTCACAAAGGGACCACTTAATGGGACAGAAATCCCCTATAAATAAGAAAAAAAGGGGGTTACGGAGAGACCTTAGAAGGGACATTTTCTTTATTCCTTTTTTAAAAAACTGTATTGGGGATTAAACTCAGGGCACACAACCATTGAGCAACATTCCCAGTTTTATTTTAAGATAGGGTCTCGCTAAGTTGCCCAGCCTGGCCTTGCAATCCACCTGTCGTAGCCTCCCATGCCACTGGGATTACAGGCATGTACTACCACGCCTGACTACATTTTTTTATAGTCACCCCAATTAACATCCTGTAAAAGAATGTACTATTACTATGAGTTTGGGAACAGCTGGCATACAGTCCACCTTTTTCAACTGATCCTCTATTCCTTCCCATGTAATCCAAAATGTTTGTCTGGCATCTGGACCTTTAAAATAAATGATACTCCAGGGGAGATAAACCTGCTCAGAAATGAAGTGAAGTCACTAAGACCAGAAAATATGCTGAGAAGATTGAGCCACAAACAAAGAAAAAAAACATAACCTCCAGAGGCTTACCCCTTTGTAGATATCCACAGCCAGAGTTGAATTATCTTCAGGGAAAAGGCCAGCATGGGGACTACTGCTATTTTTACACACATCAACCTAGAACCCAAAAATGTTTAAGAGCAACTTTTATTTCACAGGCCAGGACCAGATGAGAAAAGCTCTCCAACACATCACATACATGTCCTCTCAAGAGGCAGCTAGAAGACTGGGGTTGTAGCTCTGTGACAGAGCACTTGCCTAGCATGTGTGAGGCACTGGGTTGAATCCTTGGCACCATAAAAAATAGATAAATAGATGGATAGATAGACAAAGGTATTGTGGCCCATCTACAACTAAATAAAATAATAATAATAATAATAATAATAATAATACATAGCTGGAGAAAAAAAACCCTGGATACAGGTGGTGATGGGGACAGAGACAGGCAGCACTCTTACTTGGGATCCTCCTCCACAATTTTTCCACATTCCACACTTTCAAAGAGCATGTCATCAAAGTCTTTACTGAGTTAGAACAGATATGGCAATATATAAACACTGGGGCATTTTAATGAGGACTAGAGGAGAGGCCCTCAAGAAGGCTTCAAACATGAAAGGACACCCAGGACAGGAAGCCCTTAGTCAAAGCAAAGCCAGCAGTCAGAGGTCTTGCTGGCAGGAAATAAATGAGGGTCAAAACTACATAGGCAGTCAGAAATCTGGACACAGAATTCAAAATGACAAAACAAAGCCTATCCTGGTCACACTTTCTATTTCCTGTTTGCCAACTCTTCCCAAGCTGACATCTCAAATGGCAAGACGGACCAGCAAGCAGGCAGAAGTTAATAGGAAACAAAAGGGAATAACAAAGAGCTGAAGAGACTGAAGCCACCTACATGACAGCTGAGGCCAGCTTCCTTCCCAGACAAAAGTGAGAACAGATGGGTCCAGGCTTCTTCAGCCACCACACTATAGGCTGACTGGTGCACAGTGACTGGGGTTGTGGAGTATAGCATGGGGGCCAAAGAACCATTTTCCTGGACTCTTGAGTCAATGTTGTATTTCCCTAACCCCATTCCAGTCTGCATTTTGCCCTAAAACTCAAGACCACTCCTGACCCAGGCTTACTTACCACCTGCTCATTGGTTTTCCCAAAAAATGCTTCAGCAAAGACTGAGACGACAAAGACGTTGATGATGAAGGAAACAAAGAGGGCAATGCAGGATTCAATGAAAAAGTACTTGTTGGCTTCTCGGACTTCCTGCTTATTGGCCCGGTTTACCTGTCTAGACTAGGGAGATAACAGCAGCATTCATTTATGGAGCACATGGAAATGAGTTTCTTGGGAGTATTTCAGGACTTTGGATATCAGTCCTGAAATGTCAGCAGAGAGATTCAGAGGGCAAACAACTGACTAGATGAAATGGGGGAGACCCAAGACTTACCTATATCCTAGTTCACTAAGCAATTAAAAACTCCATTCCCTTGGAAAGCACTGTGCATTTTCCAAATAGGGACCAGTGACTAAGTACTACTGACTCTGAGATATTGTGGCAGGAAGGACCACCGACCTACAAAAACAGGCTGATTTCGGTCCTAAAAATGTACAACCTGACTTATAAAGGTCTCTGAAATCGTCCAGCAAAAGATTGCATAAGATTAACTGATAAAGTATGATTGGGCACCATTACTGCTGACTGCAAGGTCACTTAGCCCTGGAGATAAAAACACAGCCCAAGAACATGCAGTTTATAAACTTCCAGCCTTGCTCCTTCAGGATTCTAGGAATTGCAAGCTAAGTTCTGTCCCTTGTAATAAAGGAAAAGATCTCATTAACTATCCAGATGGGCAATGACATAAGGGCTTTTGCTCACCTTGACTAAGGCAGAATGTAGGTACATGTTGTGTGGCATAATGACAGCTCCCACGATGCCCACAGCCTGTTCAATCTGCGGGGTCTTACAGCCAGAACAAGATGGCACGAACATGCCCTTGAGAACCTGGCTCTGGCTGGGTTTCACTGTAATATACTACATATCAACATAACAATTATTAGCCTTCATGAAACATGACACAGGAGCATAACATAGTACTAGGGAGCTCGTGGTATCCTTTTCTCCTTGCAACACCTTCTACAATAATCATCTAAAACAGTGAAGGATACAGATCCTCAAAAAACTAAGCAACAGCTAAAAACACTGGCACATGCCTTAGTTCCCAGATATTTGGGAGGCTAAGGCAAGAAGATTAGTTTAGTTCAGAAGTTAGAAGCCAGCTTTGGCAACATAGTGAGACCTATCTCCTTAAAAACAAAAACAGGGGTCTGGGGTTGTGTTTCAGTGGTAGAGCGCTCGCTTTGCATGTGCGAGACCCTGGGTTCAATCCTCAGCACCAAATAAAAAAGTGAAATAAAGGTATTGTGTCCAACTATAACTAAAAAATATTAACAACAAACAAACAAACAAAAAAACAGAGGGGAAGTGAATGAGCACAGCATGCTTACCTAGGATGTGCAAGGCCCTGGATTCCCAACACACACACACAAATACCAAGCAACAAATGAGGCTTACTGCCAGGGAATCAGGGAATTCAAGACTAGATTCTCTAGAAATTCAATTCTTGATTATTAACACTTATGATGTGTCTGTTCACTTACATTAACTTAAAAATCACCTATTTCTGGCACAGTGTATAGTCAAAGTCTCATTCATAAAAATTTCTCATACATCCTTTTCCCAGATTCAGCATTTTTCTTGGAAACTTTAGGCCAAACTGCATAATCAACTCATAGATTAGATACAGTTTTTAAAGTTTAGCCAGGCCAGTAAGCAACAACTAGACAGAGAAAAGTGCTATTAATGCAAATAATGGTACTGACTTCTAAGAATATCTGATTGGGGCACAAAATAAACCAAGAAATATTCACTGTATCACCTATAATTCATTAACTCTTTGGATACAAAGAAAATTTAAGCTGAAATTAATATAAACTGAATAAACAAAAACAGAACCACTTTTGGCTAGCAATAAGAATAACCATGCAAACCCCTCCCTAACCCTCTCCAAGGCTGTTCTACTGTCAGGATGGCCAATTTGGCACCAGGGAGCCTATTCTGGAAAATTCTATAGCATCTCGTCATTTTGGACTAGGAATCTCTCAAGGCCTTCCTGCACATGGATATTGACTATAGATTATATTCCTTCAAAATAAATAGCCCAGGGCTGAACTGGCTTTTTGTTGAAACATGCAATACCATTAAACCATCCTAGCAGTGTTACTGTCTTTTACAGTGAAAGACTAGACACAAAACAAAACCTGTTTTAAAAAACTAATGACGAGCATGTAACACTTGCCTCATATCCAAATGTGAGGGCCATAACTGTGATGAGAAAGCCAAAAAATGCTTCTAGCTTCCGCAAGCCTAAAGGGGAAATGCAGCAGTGAGCTCAAAGAAGGCACTTCCCCAGCAGCCATGTAATGGAAAGTGGCTCCTTTGATTGCCACCCTCATTCCCACTCGCCTTACCATATTTGTCCAAAAAGAGAAAAACAAAAGTATCTGCGATGGTGATGAGAACTCCACCCCACAGGGGAACCCTAGGTTAGAGATCAGAAATGGAGATTAAAGGAAAGAAACATTGAAAAACACCTTCCTCCCACTGATACGGAACACCTAAAAGAAGCTAGGATGTAGGGGAGGAGGGACAGTGTCAGGGAGCCAGGCCTTGGATAGTTGAGGATCAGAGCACTAACTTAAGCATGTTCACTCATGTACTGAGACAGATTTTTTTGGTCAGGAATCTGTAAAGTATAGGTCTTATCCTCAACGAGCTCACTATCTGTGGGATAAAATGACATACAAATAAACAATCAAAATACAAAATACCACAGACTCTATAATAGAAGTATGTATAACCCACCATGGGAACAGAAGACTGCTGGGGGAGAGGAGGGTGGTTCCAGAAAGGCTCCACAAAAGTAATAATACTTCAGTTGAATCTTGAAAATTGAAAATGAGTTGGGTTTTCATTTTTGCCTTTACTTTGAAATCCAGGAAAACACTGTTAACTTTCCAGGGAAAACCCCCTCACCTTCCCACAGACAGGAGATTGATGGCAATGGCTGAGCCAATGACTTCTTGCATATCTGAGCCAATGATTGCCAACTCCACCATCAGCCACAGGATGATCCGTGGGACCTACAAAGCCAAGAGTGAAAGAAGTGGTTCTGATTATTCATTTCTAAGAACTTTTTCTGTAGTTCTAGTCTAAAGGATTGCCCAAGATGATCCTTTATAAGGCTCTCTACTGGAGAGGAATCACCAGAACCTGGCCCTATTCAGTGTATCACTGCACTGTGGTCCCCAGAAGGAAAAGGAAAATGTGCTTCCAGGTTATGGACTATGTGAACCAAGGTCAGCAAGGCAACTCATTTTACTTTTTTCTTTTTCCTTCCCATTTAAAATAGGAATGGAATTCTATTCACTAATTACCATTCTATTTCTTGCCTAAAAATAATTCTAAAAAGCTTTAGGGAAGAATAGTATGCCAATATGGTATAAGGGTCAAGAGAGAAAAGAAAACAACTGCAAAAGAAAACACCTATTTTGACCATAGCTGGAGTTAACAAAACAAATATGAAAAGCCTGGGGGTGGGGGTGTGTCATTTCTAAAATAATAATAATACACATGGCAAGTGAAAACAGATAAGCAAAAAGACCAGGATAAAGTAGTTGGAATTGGGTGGCATGTAGTAAAGTAGGAAAACACATATTTAATTAATGTTCTCTCACTGAAACCATAAAAAAATACTTTCATATGAAGAAAGAGAAGCTAGAAGAAATTATAAATTACCAAGGTTGTTTTATTTTTGTTTTTTTTTTTCTGTATTGGATATTGAACCTAGGGCTCTTCACCACTGAGATACATCCCCAGCCATTCTTTTTTTCTTTTTGAAAAATTTTTAAAAATTTGTTCTAATACATGATAGTAGAATACATTTTAGTACATCATACATAAATGGAGTATAACCTCTCATTCTTCTCATGGTACATGATGTAGAATCACACCAGTCATGTAATCATAAATGTACATAGGATAATAATGTCCAACTCATTTTACTGTCCTTCCTATCTCTATACCCCTCCCCTCCCTTCACTCCCCTCTGCCTAAAAACAGAGGTATTTATTTTTCATTTTGAGACAGGTTCTCATTAATTTGCTGAGACTGGCTTCAAAATTGCAATCTTCCTGCCTCAACCCTGAGTAGTTGGAATTATAGGTATACATCATTGCACTTGGCCCAAGGTTTTTTGAAAAACAGGCAAGAGTACTTAATATTTGTAGCCATCAAAAGAGCTTAAACTTCAAGGACACATGAGAAATAGGTCAGTATCTTATCCAAAGATGAAGCTATATTTAAAATGTCTTCCAGGACCACTGGGGGTAGTTCAGTAGTAGAACACTTGACTAGTATATGCAAGGCTCTGGGTTTGATCTCCAGCAATGAAAAAAAAAAAAAAAGTCTTCCAGACACAGTGTATTCTTGCCTTAGACATAGTAAGAAGGTCCCAAAACAACCTAAAGGAATCTGCAAAAATACTATAACTCCTGGAGTGACAATAAATTTAAAAATACTTCACAAATACCCAAATCCTACTACATATGCTGTGTAGTAAAAGGAAAAAATTGACCTCTTTCAAAGTAATAGCAAAATAAACAATAAAGAAGAATCATATAATGAAAACTGATGGAGCAACATGGAGGGCTTGGGGAGAGCACCCTTCCCCTTCATGGGATGGGCACTGCTAGATTCCAGAAAGTGGAGTAAATGGTTTGCTCAAGCAGAATTTCTAACATTCTGGAAGCAAGTGAACTTTATGTTAGATTTTGAAGATTGGAGGGAAACATGGCTTGGCAATAAGAGGGGCAGCAGGAGTTCCCTTAATACTCCAGTTCAAGTCCTCCAATGTCTCAGTATACAGTGGGGTCAACACATATTGCCAGATACACAGATTACCAAATGGGTGAGACACAAATAGGACAGAACACTGCTCACCTTGGGATACTGACGGTGACACACTTCAGCAAGATGTAGCCCAGTTACCACTCCCAGTCTAGCTGCAAGGCGCTGAAGCAGCAGACCCACTATGGTGGCCAACAGAAGAACCCAGAGCAGCTAAGAACAAAAAAAAATCCCCAAAGTATTCATCAGACAACTGGGTGTTTTTTTGTTTGTTTGTTTGTTTGTTTTGTTTTGTTTTTGGTTTGGCTTTGGCAATATTAAAGGGAAACACTACATGCTGGAAAAGCCCATGTCAAGCATCAAAATAATCTGAGCTCTCAGTACCATGTTCCTTTCTGAGCTGTTTCTCCCACTGCAATTTCTCCTTTGTTCAAGAAAATTACATGGATTTAAAAAAAAAAAACAGATGGGAAAAACTTTTTATAGTAAGTGTCACTACCAATGAAGTACAACTTACTTAAACAATACAGGGTCTAGTGGAGTAGGAGCACCAATCACCTGTATAGATGAAAATCCATATTCCTTTGACTCCCCCAAAACTAAACTACTTCCTATTGACTGCAAGCCTCACTGATAAGGTAAATAGTCAATACAAAGCATAAGGATCATATATGGTGAAAAATGCATGAGAACTTCAACAAATCACTTTTTACTACAATACACAATTTATTAGAGAGAAGAATTGCTCACACAAAGATGATCAGTCACACAGCATGTTAGGTGGAAACTCACAACACTTCAGCTCACCACAACAGCAAAAGTAGGTGGCTACAAAATTACTGCAGAAGTACATAATTAATTTTAATGTAGTTATGATTTAATATCACATCCTGATATTTCCTTGCATGTCCATCAACTGTAATTAGCAGCATGTATGAACTGTGTAAGTTCTAAATAAATTTAATTTTTTACAACAGATTTGTATATATTTCCCATCTGGTATTTTTATTTTTGTGTAGATAAAATAGTTTATCTACATTTATTTTATGCATTTATGACATACCTAACATTTTCTTCAATATTTCTAAGTTATACAGTTCATCTCTTGAGTTTTTTCAAATGGTCAAAAATCTCAAAAAAGAGAATCCACATACAAATAGATCCATGCAGTTCAAACCCATGTGGTTCAAGGATCAACTGTATCTGCATGTAACCCTTGAAGCTGCTAGCCCACAGACAGGGTAGAGGAAAGGATTTAGGGTATAGTTTGTGTTTAAAAGGGCAGGGGTAGATGTAGATGTTCACCTTAAATCCAGCCACTGCTCCAGACTGCAAATCGGATTCAATATTTCCTGGATCCAGATAGGCAATGCTCATAAGAAAGCCAGGTCCCGTGAATGCCCAGAGTTTACGAAAGCTAAAACAAGAATACTATACAAGAGAAGAGAGGAGCTCAAACTAAGTGTCACCTCCAAACTACTGATTTAATTTATCTATTATTGAATTACACATGAATAATCAATATCAGCTTCACAAGAACAAAGCCTAAGGGTTAGATATTGAATGGGTCCAACTTTCACTTCATCTTATCCATCTCTTATTGACAAGCTGATCATTTCTCTAAGTGAGAGCCCTTGCCTTCCATGCTCTTTCCATCAGCATCTCATTCTAAAATCAGACTAATAAAATTAGTACCTTTGGTCCCAAGCACTATCTAAACAGGATTAAGAGCCACATGTGGGGACAGGGGAGCTCCCTAGTACCACTTAGCAACTAACTGTGTTTCAGGCCCTCATATTCCTTAATAATTTATTTATTCTAATTTAAAAATCTAGTCTTCAGAGATTGGCTACAAAAATGAGACCTGAAGCTATTGAGCATGTGTCATCTAGTAAATCTTTCACACACAAGATTTCCCTAGACAATAATATGCTGGTTCAAATATGTCACCAACCTCCTCCTCAGGAATGGCAATCTTCTCATCAAAGTAGGTGGTGAATGGCTCCTCCGACTGCCCAGTGGACTGTGGAAGTGAGGAGTTACTATAGGCAGCATTGATGGCACCAAGACTGGCAGAGTCCCCATGGTCTCCAGAAGCACTGTCTGAATTAACATATTTGAGAAGAAATGAATTAAAATGAGCAAAATACACTAACAACTCATATTAAGTAATACTGAAATTCAATCTTTTTTCTTTTTCTTTTTCTTTGTGGTGGTGCTATAATGCTGTATCTAACCCAGGGTCTTAAAATCTCTGACATCTAAAATGAAATATTTTTAATACCTGAATACACAAGAGACTAATCTGATCTAGCTTGATAGATTTTTTGTAGTTTATTATTACCTATATTTTAAAATAAACTTTTCTTTGACTAGATAATACATTCACATGGTAACAAACTAAAGTAATACAAAAAGCCTTACATTATTCAATCCCCCTCAGCCTGCTCGTCCTGTCACTCAGCACTGGATCAGTTTTAACACTAATCTCTCAGTGGTTTTCCTACTCCATACTCCTACTTGGTAATTTTAGGATCATTTCATTTTCCCCTAAAAGCATTGACATCTAGGACTTGAAATATAACATTCCCAGACAAACCCCACTAATAACTTAAAATCCTAACATTTAAAAGAAAAAAAGTCAGTCAATCTACTGAAACATATCTACCTCACCCAATTATTTGATAGGACATACTCAAATAAACATTCTTGGACATTACACCTCTATCAGGTTTCTCAAAAAATATACAAGTTACAAAATCCTGCCACAGTTTAAGGTAAAATCTGATGCTGTGGGCAACCACCGAGTAGGAACACTTTGCATCCTGAATAAGGCGTACAGTGAAGAGCTGCTGGTCACGGGTTGCCAGCACACTCAAGATAGCAGGGCCCATCTCAGCCTGATATCAGTGTTTCCTACAGACTTGCATTTCACAATTAATCCTAAGTGCAGAGAGGGTAGGTCCAGGAGAAAAGAGCCAACCCACCAGAAATATATAAAGTCTAGTTTGCCACAGACATGATATGACCATGTTGAACCACAAAGCTCTATTCTCTATGTTTCTAATAAATTCTTACAACCTTCAACTAGAAAACCAAGAGCTTTGTTTGTATAGGAAGGTGATCCATCCACATCACTTAACTGGCTGAAGATATTTATAGAAAAGGAATGGAAATTCCAAAAGGGAAGTTCAGAATTACAAAGGATTGGTTAAAGCACTTGAGAAGCTCCAACAAAATACAGAATAAGGGACTCACTCTGTATTTTACTGTTCTTACATATCTGAAACATTAGAAAATATCATGAATGCCCAAAGCACTCCAAAGGTCATTAGGCCAAGTCTGGGAACAGTGTTATCCTTGCAAGAATGCTACAGAAACCAAACGTGAAACAAAATGTAGTTCAACTCTGAATTGGAAATAAGATGAGGCAGGTCTCTGTAGTTACAAACCTACATTTCATATAGCCAAAGTCACTAGATGTGACTCCTGAATGGAGTTGTTAGAACAGATAACAGGGAAAATATGGCAAATTTCTGGTTTTGACATAAGACTAATTCTGAATAAAAATTGGATAATAACACAAAGCTCAAAGTTACCATCTGGCATCGTCTGTTCAGGACCCAGTACCATGGTGGATACCTGAGTACCCGTGTTCTTAGAATAGGATTCTGGAAAGGAAAAAAGGGAGGGAGAAGAATAAGCAAAAATAAAACAAGTTCAGAATCAGCATTTTGTTTCTCTGTATGATTGAACCTTTTTTTTTCTCTCTTTTTTTAAGAAAAGAACATTCTTCTACTGAATTAAATCACCTTGAAAATAATTATAGCTTTCAGTATGAGAAATATTTACAAAAATAGAAAAGCCTTAATCATATTTTTGCTGGTAAGACTTCAAAACCAAATTGAAGCAAAAGTTATTTTACAGATTTAGGTAATCCTTTTAAATAAATACTCATTGAGAGGCTGCTAGGCAATTACCCAGTCTGTCTTTGCCTCCAAACGTCTAAAACCAGAATAATCTTCCCCAGTTTTACGAGATTTTTTTTTTTAATTTTAGTTGTCAATGGACCTTTATTTTATTTATTGATACATGATGCTGAGAATTGAACCCAGTGCCTCACACATGCTAGGCAAGCATTCTGCCCCTGAGCTACAACCCCAGCACAGTTTTATGAGTTTTTTAAGGACAGATTTATAATTGTTCTACCTATCAAGGTAAGCTCATGGTTTAATCTCCAGAGAAGGGCAAACAAAGCACTACACCAGTACACTGGTAATAGAGAGCCTCTAATTTCCCCAAGGAGAGACGTTAGCTATGATCCAGTCTCACTCCCAACCCTCTGACAACTGGGTAAGAAATGAATCACCCATGGTCCAGTTTCTCCTGAGCTCTCAAGGAGAGGTGAGGTATCAGTGGAACTAGGCCCAGTCTGTGGGATGCCAGCCTTGTCTGGGTCCTATAGTAAGCAACCTGAAAGACTAGGGCTGGTAGTGAGGTGTCCCACATGCTCAGCATCCTTTTGGAGTAAACTGGCTACAAATCTACCACACATTCTCCAGTCAACCTCACCAATAAGGCTGATTTTTAAATTTTCAATGTAGTTCTAAAATCTACTTCTTGGTTACTTCCAAGTTTAGAAAGGGAAAGACAAGGTGATATGTATTGATTATCTCTTCCATTAAATCCCAGCAGTAACTATCCCTTTAGCCATCTTTCATTGCTAAAATGTAATCTTTCTCCGCTCTTGCTCCATATGTTGCAATCCTCGCTTTCTTTTTTTTCTATCAACCAACAGATTCTATACCTATTTTATAGAATTCTAGCATTCAGACCTGAAGAGAGTTTTTACGTCATCTGTCTTCTGGAGTACAAAACATACCACCACCTACTAATTTAGAAACATCATTTTTCCCCTCCATAGTCACTGATGTCAAGTATTAGATAACCTCAGACAACTATGTTTTTCCTGTCAGATTTTAACCACCAAGTGGCTAAAAACTAGCCAAAGAGCCCAATAACACTGACTAAATATGCCCTTCAGTGAGTTGCAACAGTCCTCACCTAAATGGGATTTATATTTCTGACCACTCCCTTGGATTCCAATCAACGCAGCCCCTTGACACCCCCAGTCTTTTTATTTGTTTTACATGTAATTCAATAAGCCAGGTTATCAGGTTATCTTAAACCACAATAAATCAGAAACCACAAATCAGATCTGAAATGATGACTCTTACAGGAAAAGGGGAACTTAGCACAATAAGGAATCAGAAAAATTTCAAAAGCACATCAATTAGCTTTTGGTATGAGAAAAAGCTCTTCCTTATACTTCAGTCAAGTCTGACAACATTCTTACAAATTCAATAACATCCAGAAATTATTAAATTATTAAATTGCATCGTAATAATGGTTGATAGCCTATTTTAAAAGGCAGGGACATGTGTAATACATTTTAGGAAGATTTCTATCCAAAGCAGGCTTTTAAAAGTTATCTTTAGAGGCTGGGGTTGTGGCTCAGTGGTGGAGCGCTCATCTAACACACATGGGACACTTGGTTCAATCCTCAGTACCACATTTTAAAAAAATGAAATAAAGATATTGTATCCACCTACAACTAAAAAGTAAAAAATAAAAAATTATATTTAGCCAGGTATAGTGGGGTGACTTCAGAGTCTGAGACAAGAGGATTACAATTTAGAGGACAGCCTCAGCAACTTAGAGACCCTGTCTCAAAATGAAAAATAATAAGGAAGAAATGTTTCATAATAAATTTCTAAATTATTAATGGGATTCTAAGTGATCATTTCTATACCAAGTACACACAGAGTCAATAAAACACAAGAAGCCTGGTCTTCTCTGAAACCTCAAGAACATACTATACCAAGAGAAAATATAGATTCTAGATTCCAATTTTCTCATTGCAGCTTTTAGTCAAAAAACTGTAAGCCCCACTGCTCACATATCTATAGAACAAAACAGGGCAGGGAACAGAAAGGGTCAGTTATGATTGGTATGCTGCATAGAATTTTAAGTCCCTATGATAATTTATGATCCACGTGGTAACATTAAGTTAATATTAGGCAGTTTTGCTCTCCAGTACTGTAATACCATGTTGTTTCAGTCATTTCACTACATTAAGGAAAAGATAGAGGCCACAAGCAACCCAAATGAACCAAGCAATACTTTAGTAATTATGATTAATCCTACTATAACATTCTAGTGTGCCCCCAACCATCAAGTGTCACCTTCTCTAAAATCCAGTACATTTCCTCCTATCAAAAAGTAACAATAGGGGCTGGAGTTGTAGCTCAGCGGCAGAGTGCTTGCCTTGTACATGGAGGCAATGGGTTCAATTCTCAGCACCACATATAAGTAAGTAAATTAAATAAAAGTTCATCAACACCTGAAAAAAATGGCAAAAAAATAAATAACTATAGAGGGCTGGGGTTGTAGCTCAGCAGTAGAGCACTCACTTGGCACATGCAAGGTGCTGGGTTCGATCCTCAGCATCACATAAAAATAAATAAATAAATGCACTGTTTCCACCTTTAACTAAAAACAAACGAACAAACAAAAAAGTAACAATAGAAAACACAGCACTCATAGTTTCAATGAAGTATGACTATTTTATCCCATTCATTATCATTAGTTATAAGACTGTTTTACAGGATAAAAATGCTGATCAAATTACATTTTCTAAAATTTCAAAAGCCTGCACATTCTTTGACTCAGCAATTCCACTCCTAAGAATAAATCTTAAAAGAAACACACACATGAGGGGGTGCTGAGGTTGTGGCTCAGTGGTAGAGTGCTCGCCTTGCCTGTGTGAGACCCTGGGTTGGATCCTCAGCATTGCATAAAAATAAATAAGTGAAATAAAAGTATTGTGTCCAACTATAACTAAAATTTATATATATATATATATATATATATATATATATATATATATATGAATGAAACACATGGAAATATGCGCAAAGACATTACTACATTTTTTATAGTATCAAAATACTGGAAAACAAATCTGCATATTAGTAAAGAACTGGCTGAATAAACTGCACATTCATAGGACAGAATAACATGTAGCCATTATAAATAAGGCAAGTCTATATGTATTGATAAAGTAATCCCCAAGATATACTGTCAAGTGAAAACATCAACTTATTAAACAGTATGCATCATTTACACAGAAAAAAAAATGAGAAAGATCTCATATAACCTTTGGACAAAATAATGGCTATTCCTAAGAAAACAGAATGGGAGAGCAAAAACAAGGTCAAGTTAAGGGAAGACTGTTTACTGAAAACATGTTGTATAACTCTTTGGACTTAGGGAAAAAACTTTTACCAGGTACATTATTTATTATTATTATTTTTCAATGTGGTACTGGGGAATCAAAGTGCTCTACACTTACTAAACATATATGTTACCGATGAGCTGGATCTCCAGCCCGTTTTCAGTTTTTAAAAAATGGACTCACGAAGCTTCTCAGAGAAACCAACACTTTGGGAATATTCAGTTGCACTCTCTGATAACACTTGTGCAATGGGTAATCAGAGATCTGCAGCTGTGAGCTGACAGGCATTTATTGCCTTAAGCTTAACTAACCAATAGTTTCTCTTAGTGCTCAAATAGACAATAAAATTATGAAATTATGGTTTTGGAGTTTCACCTGAATGCAAAGAACAGACGCACTCTTCTCAGAGAAGCATTTCCTGGCTCCCTAATTTGGATTAAGTGGCCCCCTCTTCCCAGTTACACCAAGGTACCCACTGATTACCACTCTTACCATGTTGTCTTGAAAACATCTATTCCCTGGTAGTGTTCTTGCAATATTCCTGCAAGTTTGAAACTCTATGAAAACTAAAATATATATATATATATTGGTGATAATACATTCTAATACCTAATTATCAATAATTCTGTCTGTTCTTAGCATTTAAAAGAACTCTGGAAGAACAATTTGGACAATCCAAACCTGTTTTAAAAAAGCACATAAGAAAGTTTGAAGTACTAATTATTCAAACATATACAACTTTTTTGTTGTTGTTGTTGTTACCAGGGACTGAACCCAAGGTGCAATGAGCCACATCCCCTGCCCTTTATTTGTGAGACAGGATCTCACTAAATTGCTAGGAGCCTTGCTAAGTTACTAAGGTAGTTTCATGCTCTACCACACAGGCTACAACTTTAAACTTTTCCCCTACTGTTAAAAAAAACTAAAAAAATAAATATTTTTTTAAAAATAGTTTGATTTTTAAATAATATGATTTATTTTAACATTCTCATAAAGAGAAAAAGACACTTAAAACCATTTCACTTGATTTTAGAGCTGAATCAGTCTTCCTAAAATTAATTGTAAGGTTAGGAAGGAATGTTTTGGAATATAGTCCTTTAAATCCACCCCTGCCTGCCTTTTTTTTTTTTTTTTTACTGGGGATCGAACTCAGGGGTGCTCTACCGCTGAACCACACCTCCAGACTTTTTAAAAATTTTTCTTTGAGATAGGGTCTGGCGAAATTGCCCAACCTGGATTCCAACTTGCAATACTCTTGATTAGCCTCCCAAGTGGGGGGATTACAAGCATGTGCCACTGCACCCACCTCTGTCCCCCTTTTTCCTCACTTCCCAAGTGCAACAAAATCAAAGGCAGCATTGAATAGAAAAAGAA